AACACTCAATTGGAATGGATGTCCCTTGGTTCTGGTATTGCATGAAAGGGAAAAGAGCTTCCCTCTATCCAGTTTATTCATCTTCTGCATAATTTTATAGTGTATTCCCCTTCTTGTGTCAGCAGGTGTGTGAGTTCAGCTGGCTGTGACTTGATTTCAGCATTTTGGTAAGGAAGCAATTTGTACGGTATGCATAACATACTATGTATGTACAAATGTTGACACAGGGAGTGATTTTGCAACTAGAAAACACAGTTTCTGAATCAGAAAACACAATCAGAACCCCATATATGCAGGGGATTGGTTACAAGCCCCCCACGGATGCTGAAAACTGTGGATAATAACTAGCATGGTAAAAGAGCAAAATTAAAGAATATGTATTTTCACCAATATCACCAGAACTGGCCAACCAAGGGAGCCAGAGACCATGCTACATATTCTTCAACAATAACAATACCTAGTATGGCTTTGAGATCCCTGTAGTGGCCAGTTCAGTTAAAAACATTGTGAAAATACCTATTTCTATTTTTTTTTCTTTTAATCGTTTGCAAAATTACGGCTAAGTGAAACTGTGGATACTGATCCAGTGGATACAGGGGTCCTACTGTATATCCAGCCTGAGAGAAACGGATGTCTACCCAACTGTCTGCAGTACTTTTGCAGCAACGTGCTCAATGCTGAAAGGGAGACAGAAAGGAAGCATTTTCTATTTATAGACATTTTAATTGGAATCCTATTGGCAATTGCATAATATATGAGTAAATTGCCACGGCTACCTGCAGCTGATTGATGAAGTGCTGGGGTACATCCTGATTACACAAATCAGGCACATGACCAGGCATATGACCCAGACACTCCTTGGCACCTTTCCATTAGCCAGGGCACGTTACTCAAACCTTATGTAAGCACCCACGTATAATAGGTGCCAGGCATCCATAATCAAAGGCCACCTAAGGCTCATGATGGCACCAGCAATGGAGAATGTGATGGGAGCAACTTAGTTCAGAGGCTGGCAGCAAGTCTGGCATGCAGGAAGTAGCAGGTTCAGTCCCTGAAAGCCATGCTTCAGAAGGTGCTGGAAAAAGGAATTTAAAAGAACAAATACCCCAATAAAAATGGTAAACAAAAGCAACACCAAAAATGTGTTCAAAGCAATAAGGCACAACAGTCCATTCAAGATCCCAAACCAGGCAGCCAGTCCATAAGGGAAAGCTTGCCTGAAGAGCAATGTCATCACTGGCTTGTGGAAGGACAGCAAAGATGGGGCAAATCTGTCTTCCAGTGGGAGGGAGTTCCAAACGCTGGGAGAGTCTTTGAAACACAGCTGCATTTTTGATAGTGCAGGGATGATGTTAAAATACTCGTATGTGTTTCAAACACTTAGTTTTTTTTTCTTAACGGGCTCCTTATAATATCTTTTTCACGGCAAGGGCAAGAAAAAAAATGTCCAAAAAAAGGCAAAAAAAAAAAAAAAACCAACCCCCAAAGGGTCAAAGGCTGCATTGTGTGACTGTACCCATTCTTAATCATTTATTACTTTCATTTTCCCCCCAGCTCAGGGCTTAGGAAAGTTCCAGTGAATCACATGATCAGAGGGACTGTTGACATCATCTCCAGGACTCAGCCAATCCCGAGGGTGCTGCTGCTGCTGCCTTGGGAACCCAACCCCGCTCACCTGGGTCTTTGTGACCTCACAGGGGCCCCACCTCTCTGCTGGCAGATAAAAGGGGCTTGCTGGGCAGGGCAGGAGACCAGAAAGGAGGCAAAGCGCCAGAGGGCAGTCCGGCAGAGAGAGAGCGTCAGTGGCTGCAGGGGACCCAGCCCTTCTGCCCAAGGCAAATTCTCTGGCGAAAGCAGATGAACTTGCTAAGTGGGCTGGCGAGTTAACAGCTTGAGGCTGGCAGAGATTTGTCTTGAAGCTGGCTGATGTCGGCGATGGATCGGGGAGAAGTCAGTGGACATTGGCAAACAGAAGCTGGTGGAATCTCCCTGCAGAAGCTGGCTGAGGCTGCAAGGCGGAGGCCGGAAGAGGTTGGCGGATGAAGCCGGGGGACGTTAGCCTCCTGAAACCAGCTGACGGACGCTTGGTGGATATTAGTAGATAGAAGCCCAGGCATGTGTGTGAATGGCTGGTGAAGGTGTGTGTGTGTCAGGGGGGTGGCTGGTGTGTGTGTGAATGTGTGCAAATGTGCTGGCTGGTGTTCTGTGGTGATGTCGCTGGGGGTTGAGTGTGACCCAAGCATTCAGGAGCTGTTGGAGGCTGGCTTCGGAAGTGGAGTGGAAGAGATGAACGGGTGGATATTCCTGGTGGAAGCCAGTGGATATTGGCAGGCGGAACTTTGGGATGAAGTTGCGAGAACATGGGTCAGTGGATACACCTGGGTTGAAGCTGGTTTATGGCCGTGGACGAGCTCACCCCTTTAATTGAAATTTTCTCTCTCTTTCCGTTGCAGGGCCTGAAGCTTCCTCTTCCCCAGGGGCATCCAGCGGACCAGAAGACAGGCGCCCTGCTGGAGCTGAACCAGGCCGTTGTCTCTGCTAAGGATACCCATTTAGCCTCTTTTCCAAAACCAATAAAAGATTTTTTCTGGAATGGTTTTGAAGTGTTGTCTTGTTTGTCAGGGGCTGTCACAGGATTATCTTCCCCATTGCCTCATTATATCTGTAGCCCAATGCCTGGGGTGGGTCTTTGTGAAGTCAGGGTGTGGGGCCTTGTGATGTCACAGGAATTGGGAACATCATATTTCTCCATGCATGTGTGAGGGAGTAAGCTAGGCATTGTGGGCTCCATGTTTGAGCTCCTAAGCAAGTATATATTGTGTCGTGTTGGACAGACACAGGAAGCCAGTGAGCCCTGGTGCCATTCAGAGAGGGTTGGAGTTGGGTACCCAAACACTATGGCCACCCTGTAAAAATAAACTCGCTCCTTCCCATCCACCACCATTCCTCACATTTGTCTGCCTGGCCTGGAGATTCAGGGGAGCCCAGCCATTTCCTGGCACAGCAGCTCATTCTCTGACAAGCCTCATCTTCATCATCAACACCATGAGCACTCCATGGACAGCTCCTTGGGAAATGCAAGTGGGGAGCAAATATGCCACTTCAAAGAAGCTTACAGTCCAACCTCTCACGAAAGTGCCACAACCGAGGAAATGGAGATGGGCAATAATTTGGAGATGAGTGTACGATAAAATTCATGTGGATCCATGCTATGGATAGATGGCAAAAATACACTGGTACTGCAAAATCTTCTGCTTGAGGGCAGCAGCTGCCTCTGAGCACCTAGGGGCACCCTGCCTCAGGAGCATACTGAGAAGCAAAAACTCTGGTGAGTTCTAAATAACTTCTAAAACTATATACAGTATTAATCTATACATTTCCCTTGCCTTCTAAAACTAATCACGGCACTGCTGCTTTTTACTGTTTTATTCATATATTTTATTATATACAGTACATATTCTAGCTTTGGTTTTTGTAGCATTATGTACATGTATTTGATTAATTATATTAAGCAACATGTAAGTATTATAAATAATCAACATTTAATACAATGCTAATATGCATCATAATGGCACTAAGGCTTGTTCCAGAGTAATGATTATTTCCTTTTTCATGCATCAACTTTATACAATGGCCTGAACAGCCACAAAACCTTCCAAGTGCTACAGCTTCATGCCCTTTTTTCTGTTTACTGATACATAGTACATAGCTTCTTTATGCTCAAAGTAACTGGAAAATTGTGATTTTCAACTAATTTTCTTTCCTCCACTGTACTCAACTCCCAAAGCAGGGCTGGAAAACCTTTGGCCCTTCAGATGTAGCTGAAAGACAATGCCCATCAACTGTAGCCCGCCTGGTGAGACACGATGGGAACAGTACTGTAGTTCAGAAGGCCAGAGATTTGCCCCTCCTGCCTTAATGTCAGCATGTTTACTCTAGATGTATTGCTTTCAAAAGCAGAACTTTAAGAGCTATGTTTTCCAAGCGTGCTTGTCAATTACACTAATTGTTCCTTCTTGACAAAAATATGCAACAAAGTAGCAAAGCACAAACAACATAATTTAACTGAAAGCACTCATAAACACTTTTCTTGTTGTATAATTTATCCCTACCTTCTTTACTGACCATGCCATGACCTGGACGTTCCATTTCTATCAGTGGTGTTAACGCATGGATTATAGCAAGGATTAAATTTTAAGCACAACACAGCCAGCTGCAATAAATCACAGTACAATCTGGCTCTTGATAAACTCCCTGTTTGCTGTTCTAAAAGCACACGGTATTATCTGCAGTACTTTTACATGTGAGATTTTACAATGCATATTTGCATAAATGCAACTTTTGTTTGGCACAGCTTTGTCCCATATGTAGCAATGCAGATAATAATTCCTGTGCAACTCAAGCACTATTTAGATAAAATGTGCTGGTTCTGCAGTCACTCTGGGCAAGCTAGATTGGTCCCTTTCTTCGAACAGCTTTAGGCAGGCTACTCATACTTTTTTATTCTCCTTAGTATTTGAAGGGGATGTTAAATATAATCATGTACAGTATCTGTCTTTAAAAGATAGGGATTCTCCTCGGCCTTAGTTTGTATATTTTGCTATTTATTACACTCTGCATACACTTTAAATTGTAGGTGCTTAATTTCTATGAGGACCTTGAGAAAGCTGAAATCATTACTGTATCTGAATAAAGAAAATTGAATTAATACTTCTCACAGCTTAGTTTGTTCTGATGACATTTACATCACAAACTCTCATCACTGCTGTGATGAAATGAAAAGTAGAAATAAAAGCTGAAAACTGGATTTATAATATTTGCCAGTGTCAAACGCATGCTTACTGTGGGGTATTTTTGACCTCGTGGTGTTGCATAAATGCAGAAATACTAAAGAACCAATGATATGCTGCAACTCCCATTCAGATGGAATGACTGCTTCTGATTGGAGTTGCCATGGGGAACAGAATTGTTTATATTTCTCTTCCTGTGAAGTTGGGAAGGGATAAAGGAAGGAGCTACAAGGCAAGGAAAAAAAGACAGACAATCCTGTGAACAATGTGGGCTAAGAATGCTCTGAGGCCTGTGGGTCTACAAGAGTTGGAAGTTGTGGGGCTTCTCACAGAACCTGCTTTTCATATGGCAGCCCATGCAGCAGAGGTAACACCTTTCTACAGAAGTAGCATTAGCAGCTACATGCTAACATCTGTCTTTCTCTTGTGCTGTTTATAGTTACTACATTTCATACATGTTTATACATGTTTATAGTTACTACAATGTATAAATATCTTGCATGATGAACAGGGAACAAATGCTGCCTGAGTGTGCATGTACTTAGGTTAATTATTTTTAATTTAAGAACTTACCTAATAATAAATAATTCTTAAATAAAAATATTGTATTCCAATGATGTAAGCTGCCTCAGGTCTTTTTTTAAGGAGAAAGGGGGAGTAAAAATATTTTAATAAAATGGCATTCATCATCCACAGATTCTATCTGTGATGTGTTTTTTTTACCTTCTGCAATTATGTTTAAAATTGTCCCACCTTTTATCCTACAATAGTTTCAGCAAGTAAACAACTCGAGTCAAAAGTATGTCCTGAGGCATCCTACAAGATTCGCAATGGCTTAAAGTTATTGAAGCCATTCCCAAACACTATATTGCCATTAATTACCATTTAGTTAACATGTCAGGAGTTCAAATGCAGGACTGTAAGATCTATGGCCCTACTAGGAAGCACTGGGAGAATTTAGTCCTAGAGGTTCCAAATAATTCTGCTCCTTGCAACATTTGATTAAGGTGGGTGAGGGAAGGAGTAACATTAGTACTACAGTATCAGCCCTTAGCACAATCACTTTATTTTTTCTTATTCTGACCTGAAAAAGGAACATTGACATTATGAAATATCGCTTTTGGGTACCATAGGTAGGATTTGGGACTCTTTTTGTATGTTGGCTAGAATCCTTTTGGGGGGAAATTTTTGGCAAAGCATGGGTACAATGAGTCCCCCTGGCTATGTATGAAAGACAGTGTGAAGGACAGCCTGCAGGCAGGGAAGGAACGACTTACAGAAATGTTCTTCCACTCCAGATTTTCTTGGTAGCATTCTGGTCAAAGGAGCTGAAAGATAGTGTCACTAATGCACCACTCTTTAATGGCAAGTACTGTACTGTAATGTCATTTATTGGGAGGAAAGTGATGACAAACCTCGACAGCATCTTAAAAAGCAGAGACATCACCTTGCCAACAAAAGTCCACATAGTCTAAGCTATGGTTTTTCCTGTAGTGATGTAAGGAAGTGAGAGCTGGACCACAAAGAAGGCTGACTGCCAAAGAATTGATGCTTTTGAATTGTGGTGCTGGAGGAGGCTCTTGAGAGTCCCCTGGACTGCAAGGAGATCAAACGTATCCATTTTGAAGGAAACATCTCTGAGTGCTCACTGGAAGGACAGATCCTGAAGCTGAGGCTCCAATACTTTGGCCATCTCATGAGAAGAGAAGACTCCCTGGAAAAGACCCTGATGTTAGGAAAGTGTGAGGGGAAGAGGAGAAGGGGACAACAGAGGATGAGATGGTTGGACAGTGTCATCGAAGCTACCAACATGAATTTGACCCAACTCCAGGAGGCAGTGGAAGACAGGTAGGCCTGGCGTGCTCTGGTCCATGGGGTCACAAACAGTCGGATACGACTAAACGACTAAACAACAACATCAGTATGCTATTTTTGAAAAGCAATAGACAAAATATACTTTTAAAACATATTCTAAATTACCTTGTTTAAAATAATGGTCCATGATGAGGGAGTGTTTGGATTTGCAAACCAGCTAATCTGTGACTTAGGACTGAAAGCCTTGAGTCTAAGTCCTGGGAGAAAGGGAGAATGTTAGACAGATAGACAGGCCAGCAGGCCTGATATTGAGATTGTAAAGACTCAGAGGGTAGGTATTCCAGATGAGGACTATGACTGGGAACAAATGCTATGGCTGCCTAGTGATTTCATGGCTATATAGGGGGATGATTTCCTGATTGACAAGTTGCAATCTTCACCACTGTTGTTCTGTTACTTAAGCTGCTTTAAGCAGTTTTGCTGTTACACAAAGAACAGTGAAGATATTGAGACTATTTTATTTTAATCATGATACACCCACACAACCAAAGTATGAAGATACACCCTTCATCCTAAGTATGGTTTGGCCCAAATCTGTCACCATGGGAACAGAGTCGCATGAATCAGTCTCAGATAAGTGATACAAAAGCACAGTTAAAACCAAAATGGTATCATCATATGTGCACCCCACCCAATACAGCTAAGTAGTTTACCTTTTAATAATTTCACTTTTTATTTATTATCTAGGCTCTAAGGAGAAATTTTCCAACCAAGATAGGAGAGCCTAAAGTAATTCCTCTCTTACAATTTGCATGGGATGAGTATCTACAGGAGAAAAAAAAGGTATACAGTACTTTATTTAAGTAGATCCATAAGAGAATGGATTTATCTGAATTAGTGAAATCTTACATTTTCTTGATCTTATAGCAGACACTGACTGAAATCCTGTTGCTTAGCGTAGTAAGTTGTAACTAGAGTGGGCCCATTTGAACTTGCAGAGGAGGTGAATTACCAAATCCCCATTGATTCAATGGGCCAACTCTAGAGCAACTTGCAACACTAAACAACAGGAATTCAGCCTCTGTTTACTACACATTTCAGACTGAAATTTCTTCAGATTCTGTTCATAAAAGCTTTTTAGGAAAGGAGACATCAATCTGCATTCCACTGAGCACAGATAAATGTTTGGGGGCATGAATTGTTTAGATGTATGAAGAGATTATTATGATGGTTTTAGACAATTTCTATACCATTTATCACATGAAACCAATATTAGATTGTTCTTGCTTACGCTGACTTTAAACCGTTGGGTTATCTACTTTCTGTACATTTCAAAATTTCCAGTCTGTCATTCAATATCTTTGTCCTTTTTTTCTGACTTTGTTCTATTTATAGTATGTGTACATACACATAGAAATCAACAGAGTTGTAATTATTGGAGGAAACAACATGGAACTCTCATTCTGCCTAAAACAAGAAGCAGAGGCACCCCATATCAAACATACAGTATGTAAGGCAGCATCCAAATTTGTGCAAGTTTGCTTAGATATTAATCCTAGTGAATTCAGTGGGCTTTGTTCTCTGGTAAGGTCCATATGACTGCAGCCTTGCTCACTCAGGAATTATCCAGTCTTATCCCTGAGATAGCAATCTCACTTATTCCTAAAGAGCTCTAAGCATGAAGAGGTCGTTTTTCCTTGCAATCCAGTACAAATCATTCACTAGGGTCTGCTGTTCTAGTCCAAGCAGTCACAACTGAGAGTGCTAATCAGGGGCAGTATCCAAGACAAGCTGCACCAGCTGTTCCTAACACAGAAGCAGAGTGACATTATAACCTGGTCTTGTTTTTCTGTTATGAAAGGACCTTTGTTTACACAGATGTAAGAGTGGGTGATACCTTTTATTGGGCCACTAAAAATCAAACAAACTGCAAGCTTTCGTGAGACTTCTTCAGGCTTAGCACAACCCCTTTATGGATAGTCCATAAAAAGCAAGTTTTTGTTTGTCTATCGGTTTTCTGGTACCTTCCTAGTCAGTCTAAAGACACACGTGCAGCAGAAACACACTTTACAGATAGCCCCTGCTTGGAACCAAAAGCACTACAGTATTAGTTTTTTTTTAAAGTCATCTTCAGGCTTTCCTATTTGAGCAATGAAGCATCAAGGGAAATTTGTTCTTAAATCTTGAAGAGCAGCCAGAAAACAAAGCAAGCTAATTTACAAACAAAATGAGGAAAAAGCACTCAGCCTGCTGACAGCAGTTGAGGAATTGCTGCTTCTCTTTCAGTAAAATTTGTGGCTGTCATTGAAATGCTCAGGGATGCCTGACAAGCATCTGCCCCTCTTGACAGAAACTTTGCTCACCTTTTTAGATCATCATTATCATTATCTTAGAACTGCGGAGCTGGAAGGGACCTTATGGATCATTGAGCTGAGCCCCTGTCAAGGAGGCAGAGTGAGGAATCAGACTCCCAACCTCTGGCTCTGCAGCCAGATATCTAAACCACTGAGCCATCCAGATTTCTTCTGTTCCCCCTGCCCCTCTTCACCACTGTAAAACCTGCATGCTGAATGTCCTGCTTTCCTGTTAAACATTTACTGATCTGTAAACATTGCCATTGTACCTTCTGATCACAGGAATTGAGAGGGGAGACTTGGGAATATCCTTCCAATGTGATGTGTTTTGTGGATGGCCAGCTCCTTGGAGATGAAAAAATGATGCTCAAATGGGCTTATGATGTTTGGGATTATAAAGACTTTAAACCCACAGCACTCTATGAGGCCATTACACAAGATTTCCTCACCAAATACATGAGAAACAAAAAGGTAAAATAACACTGTTTTGTGCTTTTTGCAATGTGTCTTCATATTGTGTCTCGCTGATCACCATACTTGGATTGGATTTTAACTTGTTCATGAGTCTTATGACTCTGTGTGATATATTTATTTTAGTCTTATGGGATCAGTTAAGGCTATCCTTTAGAAGATTGGGAATGACCTGTGAATTGGCACCCACAAATACTACACACACTCTCTCTCTCTCTCTCTCTCTCTCCCAAGTTGCTTCAGTGATAGGCGGCTGAATAAGTGGATTTTGCTAAACATTCTTTCCAGTCCCACTTCAAATTCTAGTACTTTGCCTCGTTCAGACCATTCGTAAGAAAACCAAAACAAAAATGGGCCAATCCTCCAGATCATGGTTTACTATATTATGGGATATCTGAACCATACCACAGTGCATAGTTTGTCCTGGTTGCAACAGCAGCCAATTAATGTTCAGGACATTTTCTTATCATGTTGACCACTCAGTGAAGCAGCATGGAATTGTTCTACGTATGTCATGGTTCACAGCATTATTTGAACGCTCATGATACACAGTGTAGAACAGTAAAGAGAGCTAAACAGAAAAGTAACATTTTCCAGGTTCTGAACAGTAACCTGTTGATGCTAACCACTTCTGGGATGGCAGGTCACCTGGGTTGCCTACACATGCCACTCTCAAATCCCTGAAGGAAAGACAAAATACAGTACGTAATAAATCCTCTTCCAATTGGCTAAATGGCAAGGAAAATAAATGCTGTGCTCTGCACAAAGAAAGACATCTTGAGCTGCAAGTCAACTTAAGTTTTCTTCTTCACTTTTGGGACAAAATGACACTGTTAGATCTCAGGAAGACTTATGCCCAGTATGAAGGATTTGTACAGCACATGGTGATCCCACACTGTGGGGATCATTTTTTACAATCTGTGGAAATATTTTGAAAATGATTTTATTTATTATAATGGGCACGTTATACCTAGTAGCGGAGATCCTATTGCTTGTAAATCACAACTAGAGTAGGCCCACTGGATCACATTTATGGAGGAGGTAACTCATCAAATCTCTACTGATGCAGTGAGCCTACTCTAGCTGCAGTTTACTATGTGAAACAAAAGGATTTTAGCCATAAACTAAGAAGAGAATAAGTAACTTTATTCTAATAATCCAGAGGAAGTGGTAATTACTTCAAAATAAAGTGTATATTACCATTGTCCTCTCCTGTTTCTATTAGTCTAGTTCATTTCTTCAACCCTGATGTCAGACAGCACCAACAATCCATTCAGGAGCCATGTGTCTGGAAACCCTAGGTACAGAAGTGCTTTCAACAGGCTGGACACACGTCTATAGTTCTGTAGACAAGTGCTTTTAACTCCACACATCCTCTTTTGTTTGATATCAACATAATGTGAGGTCCTTTTAGAAACCTTGATGCTATTTTAATTTCATTTTTCCCTAAATATATAGTCACTTTGGGAGCAGCACTTGGGATACTTTTGTTCCAGAGAACCTGCTGGAACTTATCAGGAATTAATAAAAGCTTCGGTCCCTCAAAGTCAGCAAGGGAGGATTTTGCCCAAATTGCACAACCACTGGGAAGTAGAAGCACAGGAAGTGCTTAGTGTGTACTTTCAGTGCATGAAAGATGGCAATGGGACCCAAAAGGTCTAAAGAGCCATAAACATTCATGCTAGAGAATCTTCTCTGTCATGCAGGAATTCTTTGGCAGATTAACTAACTGATAATATGTTTTCCCAAAAGAATGACATTTGCAGAGAAAAATAAAACCCTCAGTTTCAGAAAAATGCAGAATGAGCTTTGACCTCTGGACTTGCTTTATCTTGGCAGCATGTGTTTGTGTTCTTGGAGATAGCTATTCAAGAGATGACTGTTGGAAAATTGCTATTTGAGGTAAGTTGCATAAAGAAGAGTCAAAGCTTGGCATTAGACGCAGGAATGTAAGACTGCATCAAGACTGCATTATCTGCAGATCTGTCAGATTCTTTTAAAAACATAGAATGGTTGCTCTTTCTCACTTTTATGCACATTTTATTGATCAATTAAATCCCTGTTTTGGTTCTAAACTAAAGCCTGATATCAGTGATGCCTGGATGAGGTTGACTATATTGCAGCATAACCCAGACGAAATAGAAGTGCTCCTAGTCAATCAAAGAGCAGATCTATGAATAGGGTTTCAACATGGACTTGCCTTAAAAACTCAGAATCACAGGCTTGAGTGTACTCCTGGACTCAAACCTGAGCTTGCATGGCTAGGTTTCAGTAGTGGGCAGGACAGTTTGCATAGTTAAAGCTAATGAACCAGCTGTACCTGTTATTTGATATGTCTGATCTGCCTAAGATGTTACATTGTACTGCATTCCATTTGGATTCCTGTAACATACTTGGGGTGCCTTAGAATGTTTGGAAACTTCAGCTGGTTCAACATTTTGCAGCCAGACTTTTGACCAAGGCCAGTTACTCTTTTATAACAATTCTACTGGCCACTAGTCCATTTCTAGGTTCCTTAAAAGTGGTCAAGTGATTTTGACCTATATAGCACTATACAACAGGAGTCCCAGTTGTCTGTAGGACTGCATCTTTTCATACGAGTCTCCTCAGGTTTTCAGAACTTAATGGGAGGCTCTGCTCTTAGTCCCAAAGAATGTACAGGTACATCTCATGAATACACAAAAGAGCAGACTTTTTGAGTGTGCATATAGTCTGTAGTACCCCTTTTACACCCAAGAGAGAGGTTGGCTTCCTCCCTCATGTCCTTCCATCAGCTGGCAGCAATATATCTCTTCAAGTAAGCTTTTAACAACTAAACAGGCTGTCAAGAAAGGTGGTTGTTGCATTTATTTAGTTCTCTTTGTTTTTTAAAAATATTTTCAGTTTTTAAAGTTAGTTTTAATTTTCTGTCATATATTTTAATTACATTTGATATTATAATTTCTATTACAAAAAGAAACATTTTTGTAAGCCACTTTTGGGTTTCTGGTTTGGGGAGAAGGTGGATAAAAAAAGAAATGGGGGAATGCATGCCTTTTGCCTGCAGCCCAATGTGCTTGCACCTGGAAGTCTTATTTAAATTACTGGAACTTTTGAACAGGCACACAAAAAACTGCATTGCTGATCAGCTGATTTGTGACATGAAAATGATTTAGGATCTAGGGCAGGTGACAAAAATGCACAGAACTGTGCTTTTAAAGATATAGCAGTTTAAAAATTCTATAGGTATGTAACATGCAGAGGAATCTGTATCATCTGTTTAGTTCATGGATTATTTACAGGACCATTCCCTTGGACTCAGTTTGTGAAAATTTATGACATTCTGTCTCCATCATGCAGCTCTATTCTGATATCTGCCCCAGGACATGTCGGAATTTCCAATATTTGTGCACAGGCGAGAAAATGAACTCTGAGTCAGGGGTGGTCCTCACGTACCAAGATTCTATCTTTCACCGAATTGTCAAAAATGGCTGGATACAAGGAGGAGGTGGGTGATAACATAGGTTGAAAGGTATGTTGCAACTTTCTCAGGCTATTCAGTAGGTATGATTCTGTGCTTCACTTTCATCATTGGATTAAACAATAGACTTTGAGATAATAGTCATATTTATGTAATAGAATTATTGAGTCTTTTCCCCTCTCGGTCACTGGCTTGTAACCAGACCCATCCAATAGTCTGCTGCAAGTATGAGTGTGATTCTCCAACTAGAGTATGCCTTTGCATTCACCTTCTGAGCTCATTTGACACATACTCTTGTTTACCCACAGATCTGCTCTCTCCTCTGAAAGAAATATAGTCAGTTTCCAAAAGTGCAAAAAAAAAACCCATTTCTTGCCCTACTTCGCCAAAAGAGACTGTTTAGCAGGAATAAGAGAAATTAGTATGGCATGGAAATAAAATAGAACTGCTTTGTACTGAGATGTTTAAGCAGATTGCATCATATGGAAGAATTCTGGTCTAATGGAACCAAATCTCAAAACAGAAAAGCCAAACTCATTCAAATTATTAATTGCATAACAGACATTGCTGTAGATGGCAGCCACAAATCACGCCATTTGCCTCACCTTAGAAATGAAATTGTACTTAATAGTGTATAATTTTAAGTTTGCAGGCTCTCTTTTTTCAGTACAAAAAAGATAAAGACACAATGATCATTGTTTTGAAATATACAGATATACATGGAGGAAGAGGGAACGGAGGCGAGTCAATATATGGTCCTGTCTTTGAAGGTAGGCACATGTGCTGAAAGTGCTGATAGGGCTAAGTTGAGAGGCATCACTGAAATAGCCAGAGATACTGCCTAGGAATAAATTTTACTCAGAATGAGAACATGGCTCTTGTTTCAGTCAGGATTGTTGTATAAATGTGAAAACCACACAGTGGCTGGAATGCTCATTATCATTATAACTGCCTGTCCTCACCTTCACTTGCACACAAATAAGGATCATATATTTACAGGTGGAACACAATATGGAACCCAACTATATGTTGTCACAGCTGAAGCTTTTCTCACCTCTTGTAATCTGCAAATTAGTTTGCTTTGTTTTATGGCTTCAAACTCTAAATCTAATTTGTCTAATACAGTCAGGTCTCTTTAACAGCAAGATTATTTCAGCTTTAATGATGGGTCACCTTCAGTGTATAATGTGTCATCTTAAAACTCCTAGGGGAAAATCCCTCTGTAATTCTGGACTCTACATAGTGTGTTCCTAGTTATGGCCACTGTATGCAGCACAATATAAACTATAATAAGACACATCCTCTTTAGATTACTGTAAGACACTCTACATGGGGTTCCCTTTGGAAAGTATTCAGAAACTTGAGCGAATCCACATTGCTAGATTGTTAACTGGGGCTGGCTACACGAATCACAAAACTCTCAGTTCCACAGCTCCACTGCCAGTCTGTTTCTGGACAAAATTGAAAATGCTGGTTTTTACTTATACTGTAAAGCCCTAAAGAATCATTGGTACAAGCTATTTGAAATACCGCATTTCCCTTTATGAGCCTGCCTGGATTTTAATATCACCAAGCAAAGCCTTTCTTGTTGTCCTGCCACCCTCAAAGGTGCATTCAGTGAGGGAACGAGACAGGATCTTCTCTTTTGCTGCTTCCAAGCTGTGGAAGCCGCTGTCATTCTGCTGCCAGGCAACAGCTATTCTTTTCCGGAAGACTTTTTCTCAGCAACTGGCTGCCTAAGATTTGGGCTGTTGCTTTTGGCTTATTTCTCCTTTGTTTTTGTTTTGCTGCTGTTTCCTTGCCAGTTTTTCTATTTGCTTTAAATACTAGAACCTACCCTCTTGAGGAGAAATTTATTTATTTATTTATTATTTATTTATTGGACTTATATACCGCCCCATAGCGCTACAAGCACTCTCCGGGCGGTTTACAATTTTTTTTTTATTACACAGGCTACACATTGCCCCCCCAGCAAGCTGGGTACTCATTTTACCGACCTCGGAAGGATGGAAGGCTGAGTCGACCTTGAGCCGGCTACCTGGGATTTGAACCCCAGGTCGTGAGCACAGTTTTTAGCTGCAGTACAGCGTTTTAACCACTGCGCCACGAGGCTCATAAAAGGTGGGGTATAAATATTTTGGCTGATGATAGAACAAAAAGTGAAGAAGTTGTGATCCTAAAAAATCTTACCTGTGAGTAACCTGTCAGGCACCATAAAATTTAGTGTAAATATTTGTCCTGTTCCGTAGTTTTATGGATGACATAGATATTAAGGCTATAGCAAGGTTCACCCTGCAGTTGATGTCATGTTGTAACATTCTACGCCCTGATGCACAGCACTGGGCTGTGGAGAAACTCAGTATCATGAATAAGTACTTCTTGGTCATTAAAGTGACAGAAGAAAAAGTGTGACATGGCATCCCATTTTGAGTAGGTTCTCTGGGTCATACATAATGTATAATTCACAGTTTTCTATCTAAATTAGAAATTATTAGTAAATTATTAGAAAGCACTAGTATTAATATAATACTGAAGACTAAATATAAAATGAAAATTTAAAATCAAGAAAAGCAAATACATGGAAATAAGAGAACCACGGTTTCCTGCCTATCTGTTTATGACTATTTTTTTAGATGAAAACTTTGCTGTTCGCCACGATAGGAGGGGTGTCCTTGGAATGGCCAATAAAGGACGCCACAGCAATGGGTCCCAGTTCTACATCACGTTACAGGCAGCACCTTACTTGAATGACAAATATGTGGCTTTTGGGTACGTGTGAGAGTTCTGTGACAAATCTTAAGTATGAACATGTCAACTGAAACGTGCTTGGTGGAAAGGCAGCACTGCGTTAATAATAAAATGAAACATTTTTATTTTTATAGTATTAAATATCTGAATATAGTTAAGTCTCACTTTTCCTCCCATCATGGAATTCAGGGATATATGTGGGATGCCTGTCTGCCCTCCTGGTGGCGATCCACCCCAGACCCGCTTAGGTTCAGCACCATGCCAGTGTGATGCGCACTCAGGCCTTCCCCTAGCAGTGGCTGGTACCTGGGGGCGGGCAGGAGGATGGGACACAGATGCAATGACCTCCTAGTATTTATTTCAAGTATTTCTCCCCTCATTTTAGACAGCTGCTTGAAGGCTCAGAAGTCCTCCAGGAACTGGAAGCAATGGAAACATTCAATGAGAGGCCAATTTTAGAATGTAAAATTATTAACTGTGGAGTGTTTAAGCCATGATTGTGAATGTAAGTTTTATTTAATTTTACTGAAATATTTTATCTTGCTTTCTCATTACTACATTTTATTATGGCTGATAAAGTGTTGGCAGATAAAAAGTACCTTTCTTACTTTGAGAAAATATTTTGAATAATCTGTCTCCTCTTGAGGATGTGGGGCTTTAAATATGTAGTCACGCTTTTTAAATTCAAGTAAGTATGCAGGGCCCCAGTCTGCATCAGGATTACTCTGCGTAAGTAGGTGAGATTTAAATGTTCTGTTCCCGCAAAAATAAATAAAATTTCATGGCACTTTTGGAGCGGGTGGATTAATGAACAGAAAGTGGGAAGTTTTATCTTTGTCTAACTAGTATTGATGGCCCCAATTCAGATTGGGGATCTGCTCACTTATTTGAACATAAACAACATATCAAGACTTCCATGGATACTATGGACAGAATCCTCTTCATTTTTACCACATACACAGTCAAGGGATCTGACCCATGTTCCTGATACATTTACAAAACCTGCCACCAAGGAGGCGGCTCAGTATGGGCCAAATCCACCCACTTTCTGAAATGTCTCATGAGAAATTAGCTAACCTCCACTGAGCCTCAGAGGGCTAGAGCACACTAGCAGTTGCATCCCCTCACTTTGGGAACTACTAGTCCAGTATCTCTGCTCTTGCACAATGAACACCAGTCCTGCAAGGCAAGACAAAATCCCAGATAATAAAAATGTTAACGCATGTTGGTGTAGCCAGTTTCAGTCTAAGAAAATGGCACTTAGAACCAAGCAGCCCAATCACCAACCAAGAGGTACACCAGGCAGAGATCTTACATTTCATTTAGAACATCAGAAGAAGACTAACCTAATCGAAAGGAGCAAAATATTTTCAAAACAAAAAGCCAATTCAAGCGAAAACACAACAGGCCTCATTAATTACCTATAGGAGAAAATAAAAAAGCTATCTTGGCTTAAACTAAATACTAAAAGACCTAACAGAATAACACAGTGTGGTTTCTAATCTAGGACACTGTGCCCGTACTTACCAATAGCATGAAGTGCTGAATCTCCAGACAATGAGTCCCCCTGAAATGAGAAACTGGACCTACTATTAGATGGACTCTCAGCTGACGCTCTTTAACCAACCAATTTAAGGTATTCACCAAACTTTCTAGAAGACATGCCGTTTGCCATGTATCCTCTTCTCCAAGTATAGCTACAGGGTTTTACAATTTTGCTTTGAAATGTAACACCATCCTTGAGCTTCCAGGCGTATCTGCTCCCAATCCAGATGGCTCCCTATCCAGTTGACCTTCAGAACAGTCTTGAGATGAGGTAAGGTCCCATGGCAGGAAATCCTAACAGGAAAAGGAGTCCAAGAAGTGTGGGAGTTTCTAAAAAAGGAAATTCTAAAGGCACAACTACAAACAATTTCAACAAGAAAAAAAGGTCAGAGAGGACCCGGAAAAAAAAACAGCGCTGCAAAGAGCATAGAAAAGTATATATCAAGATACTATATATCTATTGTGTATACAATCAATGTTTTAGAATTCGAATTATGCTGAAGTGAATTTTACAAAAGAATACTGGGGAGGATTAAAAAACCACTAAGTACCAACCATGTAATTGATTTGGGAAAGATCATTATGCTCAGCTTCTTGGAATTTTTGCTCTAAGCATTCAAAGCCAGAAGATAAATGTAAAATATGTTAATGAGTTCCAGCTGTGTAGCTGGAAGAATCCAAAACCATTATCCCATTTCAGTCAAGGAACTCTCCTATTGTTATAATAGTTTTGTGGTGCTTCATAAATGTGGTACTCATTTGTTCTCAGATTTTCAAGTTACAGCCATGTTAGTCCGTGCAAGTATTTCAACAAGAAACACAAAACAATACAAAACAAAAGCAAAAAAAAAAAAAGACATTGTAGCACCTAAAAGACTAACTACTATACAGTATTTTAAAATAAGCTTTTGTGGAACATTGTCCACTTCTTCAGCCATGTGAGTTAGAATACAGAGACTATATGGCTCTCAGTGATATTTGGTGGCATTTCACACTTAGTAATGACTTGTGACCTATGTTTCATATTTAGTACTTTTGAAGTCTGGTTCGCTAAACATATTTCATATGTGTTACACTGCTGTAGGTACGCTTGCACTATCGTGAGCTGTCTATATGGCCAGTGTTGGTTGATGCATGATATAAAAGTGTTATATAAAAGAAACATATTGGGAGTAAAAGGTATTTTTTCTTGCAAAAATGCCATTCTTGCCACGTGTCATTATGAATTAATGGTGCTACTGGATTAAAAAAACATTTAACAATGCATTAGGGATGGGACATTCAGAGTTTTTGAACTCCAAGCCTAGGAATTCCCCACTTCAGGTAGAATTCTTGGAGGTGCAAAAAAACAACAGTAGCCTCACTTGGCTAACATGATGTATTCTTTCTTTTGTGTGACCTTCATACAGACAGCATGTCTTTGAGTTCCTCTATTACCAAAATACTTGCTGCAAATGCAGAATGGAAAGCAAACCCTCACTGGCATATTGTTACTGTGCATAAAGGGTAAAACGACCTCCATATTGTTTGTTAAAGACTAACTGCCTACTTTATACAAATGCAGGAGTAGGCAATACTTTTATAGACCACTGTAATGACCACACGGATCCCTTTTATTTCAATGCCTGCTTTATAGTTTTCTTAAAATGAAGTATTGTACAGGGTTTATGTTTTAATCCCATGACTTTTAGGGGGCTAAATTGTATTTCCTTAGCTGCATACATTATATCAAATAGGCAGTTAAGTGAGAATAGAAAAGGGAACAAGCATTAAAATATTTGATGATAATGATAACAACAACAACACACCTTTAGATCTACAAAAAACAGCAATATTAAGAACAGCATACATAATGCGTCAATACTGTATTTAAAAGATACTTAGGTTTTTGGTTAAGACTTGTATCTGTTATATAATACCAATCAGTGTTTTTATAATTTTGACTGTGCCTGGAGCTTTTGAACAACAACAACAACAACAACGACAACAACAACATATTAGGTTGATTAGAGAGAATTGTTTGCAGACTTGAGTTCAACCAGACGTTAAAAAAAATTATGCTCACCGCTTTCATGTAAAGACACCTCAGAGGAATAAGATTGGTAGTTCTTCGCTACATATTTAACTGCTTGTCACCTCAGCGTACAATTCTGCTGAACCCATGATGGATTTATGGAATGGGGAAATGGTCAAAGCAGTGGCCATGATTGCTCCTAGGTGTGCCTTCCTGCAAAGTCCAGCCAAGAGCCTCTTGGTTTTCCAACTGGCAGTCATGAAATGAACAGGCTAGTGACAAACTGCTTTGGTTGAAGAAGCTGTGACTAAAAACTGGGCTGGAGCTGGAGGAAAATTCTTCTTTTCTGCCGCTTAACAGTTTCTGTGAGGCACAATTAAGTATACATGTACAGTAGTTGGAACATACAATGTAAGAAATACAAATCAATTTCACTCTCTGCTGTTTCTATTTTCTGTTCCACTGAAATAATTTTGGGAGTCAGTGTTTCACTTTTTAAATTAGACATAAAGTACATTTTCTTGAAATAAGATAAATGTTCTTATTTTTAAGGGGACTCTTGATATCTACGCAACTATCAAGAAACAGACAAAAATCTTTCACAGGAAATCTTTCACAGGAAGTAACAGAATGTCATTTTACCAAGGGACATGTGTGTACATCAATTTAACAAGTATTGTCAACAGAGACTGCTGACATCTATCTTCAGCAAGAAAGAGACCTCTTGCTTAAGTTACATGGACTTTGACCTCAGGTACAGCTTGTGTTTTTCTTGTGCAAGGAATCAGATTCTTGATCATTATATTCCTCTATACATCTGTTTTGATGGAGAATTAATCCATAAAGAGTGGTGGGAATCCTCCCTCTAACCAGTTATTATTACTTCTGTTCAGTGCTGTTGTTGTTAGGTGATTTTAAGTTACTTCAGTTATTGCTACAGCTTTGAATGAGCCACCTCATATACTATATGTCCTAGCATTTACAATGATTGCAGACACAGGGCCCCAGCTTCCTTGTAGTTACTCAGCTAGTATTATCCTTGTTTGAGAGTATAGTGGTGCCTTGCAAGACGAATGCCTCGCCGGATGAAAAACCCGCAAGACCAATGGTTTTTGTGATTTTGTTGGTGACTCACAAGACAGCTTCTTCTATGGCCGTGCTTCGCAATACTTTTTCCCCCCGCAAGACCGATGCCTCGCAAGACGAAAATAATTCATTCGTCTTGTGAGGTTTCCCACAGGAATGCATTCCTATGGGAAACTGCTTTTCGCAAGACAAAAATTTTGCAAGACGGTGCTACTCACTGAACGAATTACTTTCGTCTTGGGAGGCACCACTGTATATTGATGTTATTGTGCAGCAGAGGAAACCAACATTTTACAAGGCAATTAGAAAAATGGGGGCAGCCCAAACAAAAAGTTACAACTTTGAAACTAGACTTCAGAGACCCACCAAATGCAGCACAGATATAGCAGACAGTCTGCTCTTCCTTGGTGCCAAATTTTGGGACATTTGGGCAAAGGGATTGATGGGTTGATTTGGTTCTATACTGCCCATCTGGTTATCAGGCAACTCTGGGTGGTTTACATATTAAACATACACAGTTCAAAACAATAAACGTAATAGTATAAAATCAAAATAAGGATAAACAACCAACATTTTGAATAATAATAATTAAAATAATATAAAATAATATAAAGCAGGACTGATAATATAAATGTTTGGACCAATCAATGTATTAAGATGTTGTAAGGTCTGGGAAGGCTGTCAAAAACCCATATTTTTAATAGTTGCTTAAAAATTTCCAGTGAAGGGGCCGGGGGTGGGGGGAAGGTTATTCCAAACCTGAGGAACGACGAACAAGATCGCCCAGTTTCTGGTTCTCTTTTTCTGGGCCTCTCTTGGGGTCAGTACTCTCAACCACCCAGCCTATGAAGATCTAATTGGGAGGAGGTGTTCTGTCAGGATTCTGAGCCATGATTCTTTAAAAATTAAAACTGCCCTCCTGTGTAGAAACAAAGAGCCCTAAACATCCTCAGATTTAAGAGCAAATAAATTGAAAAGACTAAACTTGCTTATCTTGAAGAGAATGGTTGGCCCCACTTTCTTGTTTTAATCTGGAAAGAATCCAGACTGCATAGGCTGAAGTACTGATCCTCAAAAAAGGCCCTTTCAAATGGAAAAATGATGACCTTATTACACAGTTCCAAAGTAGAACATTCTTGCAGCTTTGTATGGGGAAGGCTGTAGGGCAAAGAAAGCTCAAGGAGACAGAATCAAAACACAGGTTTTCTTTAAAGAGTTAAAATCAACAAAAGGATACCCCTTTTGTACTCGCTACCACTTACACTTTTGGCAATACTGCTCTAACAATTGCTTTTTGTTTGGGTGAGAAATCGTTAATTGGTTGAAAATAGGAGTCAGCTTCTGGGATTTTCCTTGCATGGTGTCACTCTGTGAATGACAGTGAGCACAAAAGATGATCCTACAGACCATCTTGTCTGCTTCCCTTTGTTATGTAAAGCTCGGCATCCTTTTCCCGTGTGCAGGCAGCAACAATATTGTGCAGAAATATGGGGCCATTTCCTGGTGCTTTGAATCCTGGATACAGAAGCACAGTATTTCTCATTCATAAACCAGAGGTTTTTGAAGAACTGAATTTATTCATGTCAGAACTCAGCCAGCAGTACAAATATGGACAATTCTTATTTGCCTTGATTGTAATTCTGTAAGGTAACACAGCCACTCCTTTAATAGTACTGTATGTTCCATTTCACACATGCGGGAAACATGGAGGAAAAGCGTGAACCCCTCGTGTCTTCCTCTTTAATTAATGTCATGTCCCACTCTGGCATGATATTAATAACCATAGCACATTGTGAAAGAGGAATAACTGAGAGTGTGCTGTCCCTTGTGACTGAAGCTGTGATAAAGGAGGCGGGAAAAGATATGGCCTGCGAGATTGTGGGAGAAATGGCATTGGGAGTGGGAAAGAGCGAGTTCACGGAAGAAGCGGTTGTAAAGGCGGGAAAATATGAAACTGAGTCAAAAGAGGAAAAGGGGAAGGTAGAGATCTGTTTGGTGGAAGAACGCAGGGAGGAGAAAGGAGAGGACAACCTTGGTGTGGAAGGGAAAGTATAAATGAGCAAGGGGAACGTTGGGTCCGGGCAGAGTAGGAAAGCAGGATGAGACCGTGGCAAGCTGAGAAGTGTAAGGAACTGAAATAAACTACAGTATAAGAAAGCTCAGGAGTTGTTGAAGGATTTTCCCAACCTGAAAGTGGGCGGGCTGCTACCTGATCCTGCGCCTAAGGCTGAGGGAGAAGTTGCCCATGAAACCCCATGCGTGGACAGTTATTGTATTCTTGAGAGGTCAGAGGCAAAGGATGCAGGTGATCCCTTGGGGGGGGAGATACAACACCCCAGCAAGGAAGGCGACTGGGCTCGACACCATCCGTGCAGTTCGGAGCGCCCCTCTACGGAAGCTCACGGACTGGGTGCAATTTGGCCAAGCACCCCAATGAACTCGTTGGACTTTGGAAGGGACTTTGCGTCCCCAAGTTACGGCTTGCTGCCAGAGTTGACTTGTTTTGACCCAATCGTTAACGTTACAGAAAATTATGCAACAAATAAAACTCAAGATTTGAATGTGATAAAAACATCTCCAATTTTATTTCCCCCCGCAAAAAGAGGAGTTGCCTACAACCGAACCCGATGACACACATTTTCAAAACAAACTGACCCGCCTTGCCAATGTTGAACGATAGTACGTAGTACCTACAAGATTAGGAAAGCATCAATCCTCTGGTTGGGTCTTCTAGCTATGTTTTCCCATTAATTTTTTTTTTTTTTTTGGTGCGTAGTGAAAGCATTAAGACCCGGCACTAGCAGTTTAAGATCCCACCAAAATGTGCTTTAAAAACTCCTCTGGGAGTGTACCAGCTGTTCTGCAATTCCACCACTAACGCCTAACATTAACATCACCTGCGCAGGTTTGCCCCACCCGCGAGGCACATGACGTAATCCTTGCACGGATCGACTCGCCGAGGGTCGAAGAGGAAAACGCCACGCCCACCTCCCAGATCCTTCTCTTTCGTTCGAGGTTTAGGCCACGTGACAAGGACGCTTCCCTAGGGTGGTTGATTTTGGGGGGAGGGGGGCGAGTGTTCCCTCGCCGCCGCACGGGGGAAAGGATTAATCGCGTGGAACCGGAGACAGAAGGGAGGGGGCGGGGGAACCAGGCACCTTCTCTTCGGTCCACGCGTCACTCCTCACGCGCGCACCGCCCAACGGCCGCCTCACGTGACTGCAGACTTCGCCCGGCCGGGAAGTGAAGCGGTTTGGGGGCAAGTTCAGGCGCTCCTTTTTTTCTGTTCCTCGGTCGTCCTCGCTAGGCGACGCGTTCTTGCTGCCTTCGGTAGCCGCTGGCATGATGAGTCCCTGCAGCCGCAACAGCAGCAACGGCCTCCGGTGGAGCCCCGTAGGCTGGGCGCTGCTTCTCCTCGTCGCCTCCTGCTTCACCTCGCTTTTGGGAGAAGCCGCCACAGAAGGTGAGGAGAAAGAGGAGCCGTGCCGGACAGCGTGGACGGGTGGTTCAGGGCCTCCTTCAGCCCAGAGGGGGCGGCTTCTACTGCAGGAGCCAGGGAGGAACAGGGGGAGGGAAGGTACCGGGGCTCAGGATGTCGTGTTGTGGCTTGAAACGGGGGGGCGGGGGGGCCGCCGAAGTGCTTAGAGAACAAGTGCCGGGGCTGAGGGGGCCCAGAAGACCCCCCCTCGGGGGAAGGAGGAGGCCCTGCGAGCGGGGGGGAGAGAAGACTTGAGAGCTGCCCCGGTGAGGGGCGGAGGACTCGCTGCTGGAGCGCGGGAAGCCCTTCCTTTCCCCCCCCGCCCCACTCCTTTAAAAGGGTCGGGTTGTGGGCCTACTTGTGATTCGCGTCCTCCGCTCTGCGTAGAGGGGCAGAGAACAGATCAGGGCCCCCGCTAAAGAGAGGAAAGCCCGAAAGAAATGGTTAAATATTGCACGTTGCCCAGCGCCGCTCCAAACAAATGGGTTCTGCGGGTGCGTTTCTTTTTCTTCGGAAGTTGCAAACCTCGCCCAGGTTGAGTCGATTTGCTTCTGGCTGGGAAGGAGGAGGAAGGATTCGGGACTTTCACCTACTTAGTCCAAGAAGACCCAACAGCTGCCAAAGGAATTCTCTCGTAGGCGGAAGTGAAAGAGGAGAGTTAGGGATGTCGGGAAGACTCGGAACACTTTCTCATAGGGAGAAATAGTCGTCTTTGTGGCGATGAGGGAGAATTTCCAGAAGCAGTTCTCTCTTCGTGTAGTAGAGATTGCTGCTTCATCTCTTTCCCCACTCAGTTGTAATGACGTAGGATCTCTCTGCCAGATGTGAATTAATCCAAGGAATAAAGTACGGGGATATATTGTTCAGTAGCTCTGGTTCTTTCCAGAATCGAAGCTATTTTGAGAGAAGGGGGAGAATAATCTGGCCTGTTGGTTTGGAGCAAATACAGAGATTTCAGTTTTGCCTTGGGTTTTCTTCCATTGTCATTAATGTAATTATAACATATGCCCTCAATATACATGGCACTTTAGGGAGTGTTGTAAGAAAGTCATCCCAGTAATGGGATTAATGTAGGTTGTAAAGTGTCTTTCAAAACAGTAGTTGAGTTTCTGAATTTAAAATTAGTTTGGGCCATGTTTCTCCCCCTTTTTTTGTCTTTGTTGTTGCTCCCCCCTCCACAATAGCACAATGATGAAGGCTAATAAGGATGGTGGTACATCTTGAGAAGTGTTTTTCTTTCTTAAACTCTGATTTCTGCAGTCCAGAGTAAACATTGAATCTGTCACTGTAGAACCCGTAATTAGTCTAGATTGTTTCAGCTGGAAATAAATTAACATCTTGCAGCCTTCCAGAATTCTAATTTTCATCTCTCCACTTGTTCACATAGGAACTAGTTTGCAGAAGCATCTGTTGCAAACCATTGATACTGAAAAATACCCACCACAAACAAGAGTACAGTAGTAGAATATTAAGAACGGATGAGCTGTCTTGGAGGACTGTTCTTCACAGTGGGCATTGGGGAGTATTGGGGAAGGGAGAAACAGAAATCCAAAAAAACATAATATTACTGTAGAGAAAAATATTCTGTACAATACATCTGTATGATGTATCAATCTGAAAATCTTTGAATTTGCCATATTGCTAATGTTGGATCTTTTTAGGGAAAGATCTGGGGAAAAACAAGGTGAGTGGTATCAAAAAGGCGGATAGGGCAAAGCGGAAGGTTAGTACAGTACTGTAAATAAGACATGGAGCTAAAAGTTTGGCAGTGAAGTAACATAGGTGTGAAAGTTCTTACTGCAAGTACTGCCCATTCAGTTTTGATAACATTGTATTACATAATCACGAGGAAGCAAAGTAGAAGTTGAAGTTTTGTTATTCCAGACTTAGAATTTTACTTTGTTTATGTAGGGATCACTAGGACACCACATTGTTACTTTGCTTTTATTGCTCCATTTAATTCTATGGTTTAGAAAAGTTTTTTAATCCAACAAAAGTAGTTTTAATAAATGTTCCCTTAACAACTAAACATGGTTTATGTTCAACATCATATGATGGCAAATGCTTCAGAACACTAATATCCTTCTTAATTGGTAAAATATTGCTTAAAAAGGAAGTTATTCACCTGTGGTCAGGTTAACAGGAGAGGGCCAGCCTGGCTGCCTGAGGGGAGTGTATTCCACAATGGTAGCAGGCTGTGAAAGTTCCCTCTTTTGTGCCCCCACCACCATCTGTGAATGTGGTGGAATCAAGGCCTTTCCAAAAGATCTTTACAATAAAGGCCAGCTCATATGGGAGATAGGGTCAACCAGACATCTTGGATCCAAGCTATATAGGTCTTTGCAGATAATTGATAACACTTTGAATTGCGCCTGGAAACAAACTGACAACTGGTGTAATTTAGGGATATGCCTTACGGATTTTTCTGACTTAAATTCCCAGAATTATCAAAAAAGCTACCTTGGTAGATTTGCTGGAATTTCAGGCCTCCAGATACCTGTATTTCCTACAAGTGGAACAGGGTTGCATTCTGGGCCTTTATTTCCTGCTGTAACACTTTGTGAAATAGTCTTGTCTTTTGGAAGGTACTTCTTGAAGACTCATGATGCCCAGGAAACATTGATTTCAAAGGCACTCTGAACTAACAGACAATAGGATGAATAGGTGTAAAATATCTGCTGGGTTAAAGTTCCAATTACTTACTTAGCAGAAAATCCTAATAAAATGTTCCTATGTTCCATCTGTTTGAGGGTGTCTCCAGTCCATTTCCCCATTTTTTTATTAGTCCAAGTAATTTCTGAAAGTCCAAGTAATTGCTTCACAGGGTTAAAGCCAGGAGCACACCCTTGCTATGATTCTGCTTTTGCAAGGGGAGTGTAACCCAGTACTGTCTGAATCCATATTTGTTCATCTGTGTTTTGGTTGATCAGGAGCATCTCTGTTTTAACTGGGTTAAGTTCTGATTTGTTTGACATTATCCAGTCCATTATTAACATGAGACACTGGTGTAGAACTGAAGCAGGTTTCTCAAATTTAGGTGGGAAAGAGAAAAAAGAGCTGTCATCATACTGGTAATACTGAACCCCAAAATTCCAGATAGATTCTGCTAGTCAGCTAGTGTATATGTTGAATGTCATGGGGGACAGAACTAAAGCCTGAGGGGACCCCATAGGCCAACAGCCAGGGTGTCGAGGAGGATTTCCAAAGGACCACCTTCTTAAAGATCTATTTGTTGTAAATGTAATATGAACTCAGTGACTTAATTTTTAACATTTAAACATCTTTGCCATTTTATGAAGAGGAATTTATAAGCTAAAAATGCACTTCCAGTTTTTGAATTGGAACAACCAACTTTTAGCTCTCACTACTCTTGGTTATTTTGGTTGGAGCTGATGGGCATTGAAAGACCATACTTTACCCATGTCCTTGTTTTTAAAAGACTTTATTTAACAAAGGGAGAAGCATAAAGAGAGATTGGAAGCTCAAATCCATATTTTTTTTTCAAGCATTCCTTCATAAACCCAGGAGAAAAAAAGTATTTATAGCATAGCCAGCCCTTGCATCTTTGCATTAACCCATAGAAAAATGTTTTTATAGTAATTCAGAGCCCTTGAAATCTATGAATTATGTTTAATATATCCATCTGGATGTAATTTAAAGTTGGGATTTTGTTCAAAATAATAAAATACTAAACTTCTTTCAGCCACTCTCTTAGTGGTGGAGTTTTTCTAGATCTAGACTAGGAGTGGGCAAAGTGTAATCTGCAGATATGTCTTTCCCAGTCCTCATTTTGCAATCTCCCAGTGCTACCCAGAAGTTAAGTTTTCAAAATCAACAGAAGTACACTGAATCAAAAGAGGAACCGTAATAAAGCTGTAGGCCTTGGCAATTTCAGCTTTCACTTGTAACTGTTTTCCCAGTGTTACTCCTTTTTGTTATACAAGATCTTGGATGTTAATTGTTTAAGATGCTTAGCGGTGTGGGAAATTAGTTATTTATGAGAGAACCTCTGAGTTGTTTGTTGTGTAGTGCAGTTGTTGTCTTATTAAAGTAAATGTGAAAAAATTGCTGAATAAAGTTAGCATTTTGAATGACTTTTAGTCAATTAATTATTGTTTAACAAAGTAGCTTGATGCAACAAATTTGGTTTTCATAAAATGAGTAATACTTTACAGTTTAAAATGTAATAGCCTGTTGTGTATCTTGTATCTTATTATACATGCCTGTATTGGTGGTTGGGGATTCCATGGGAGCTTTTGACGGGGTTGGGAGTAGAAATTTTTTATTTCTAAAAAAATCGCCATGGCTAATGATGTTGATAGCCATACACAGCATAGCTGTGTGGACAGGATTTTGGCCGGTACCTAATAACATAAAATTAAGTTAAATGCTTTCATTACATATATATTTTGATATATTTTTATTTTTTTTACTTATTGTAGTATTTTTACATATTATAGTGGTTTTCATATGGTTTTAGATGCTGTTAATGTACTGAAATATTGTAATATAATAGTGTCTGTTATTGTTTCTCTTTGTGTTTGTATAACTTGCCACAGCTAACTTGGACTAATCAATGAGTTCTCAGTTGTATGCCAGATCACATGCCTGACTGCAACTACAGTGGTGCCTCGCATTACGACGTTAATTCATTCCAGCAAAATCGCTGTAGAACAAAAACGTCGTAATGCGAAAACAAAAAGCCCATTGAAACACATTGAAACCCTTCAATGCATTCCAATGGCTGGAAACTCACCGTCCAGCGAAGATCCTCCATAGGGCGGCCATTTTCAGTGCCTGTGCAGCGGGGAATCCATCCCAGAAAACAGCGGGGAGCCGTTTTATTTACCTGGTGGCCATTTTGAAACTGCCGATCAGCTGTAGGAAAATCGTCATTTTGCAAAGAATCGGTTCCTGAAGCAGGGAACCAATCATCGCAAAGCGAAAAACCCCTATTCAGACCATCATTTTACGATCACAAAAGCGATCACAAAAATGTCGTTGTAATGCGGTTTTGTCATAATGTGGGGCAATTGTAAAGCGGGGCACTGTTGTATCAAGATGTAGTATAGTACCTGGTCAGTTACTTAGCTGTGATAAGTTACACAAAACTTACATGAAGGCTTATGAAGAAGGAAATTGGCCTATATAGCCCATTTTAGTCATTCCCTCAGTTTGAAAATCCTCCTCAGCTACCATCAAAAGTGCCCACCCCATCCTACACTTTGAGTTCTGGTAATTTGTTATTGATTTGGATCTTCAGGCAAGATCCCTGAAAAAAAACCTTTCATGTGTAAGCATCATTTGGATATCTAATGGTGTGGCATTCCATCCAGCTACTCTGCCTGCTCACATTTAGCACTCCTTAGCTGCTCATTAACCCTTCAAATACTTAAGTGTTTGCAATTGTTCTCAATGGTTTAGAGCCATAAACAAAAGATCCAACACCCCTTCATATTGTACAAGAACCATTTTCACTTAAAAATCTTCCTGCTATATGTAACCAATATCAAGGTTAACACCGTAGCTTGCCTCTTAAGTACTGAAACACTCAGTATGGCTTAAGGTATTGATCAGCAATACATCTGTGCTTTTATCACTTCCCTTTCGCTTGTGTTGTATCACTGGCTGTGTATGGGCTTGGTACCCTGTTGAACTTGGGACTTCCACAAGGTATAGTTGCTATTATTGTCTAAGAATCCTTTGGCATAGCAGGAATGTTCTTAGTACAGAATGCTGCTAATACCAGTGTTAAGAAGGAGGGAGAACTGATTTCTGCTTCATATTCTCTCTTTCTTTTTAGATACTCCTACCACAACCACTGCACCTACCACCTCAAATGCTACAGCTGCAGGTAACAGACGTACTAGTTTCAGTGTAATAAAGGTTTGATGGAATACAAAATTTAGTCTGTAAAAAGATATGCAGGTTGACTGTGAAAAACTGAAGCGAGAATTTGTGAGGGTTCTTTTGTGCCTCCCTCCTTCTTCCAACAAAGTTACTTGGGAGCCACCTTTTCATTCAAATAAAGGTAAAGGTAAAGGTTCCCCTTGACAATTTTTGTCCAGTCGTGTTCGACTTTAGGGGGCGGTGCTCATCCCCGTTTCCAAGCCATAGAGCCAGTGTTTTGGTCCCTATTTATCTACTTGCATTTACATGCTTTCAAACCGCTAGGTTGGCGGGAGCTGGGACAAGCGACGGGAGCTCACTCCGTCGCGTGGATTCGATCTTACAACTGCTTGGTCTTCTGACCCTGCAGCACAGGCTTCTGCGGTTTAGCCCGCAGCGCCACCATGTCCCTCTTATTTCATTCAAATAGTCAGCATTTCTTGATGAAGGCCCAACAGAGACTGACGAAATGTTAGGAAGAACAACCTTCAGAACATGGCAGAAAAAGCCAGAACAACCATTAGATCCCTGCTGTGAAAGCCTTCGAGAATATATTGCAACAGATAATAGCTTCAGCTGGTAGTTTCTTCCCCCTCTAATGGGAGAGGAAAGGATTCCTGGAACTTTTGACTGTCTTAGGGGTCTTGTCTTCCCACCTGGCTAATCAAGAGACAAAGGCCCTAAAATGGGCCATTTACTAAACAGGAAGAGGAAGATGGGAAAACCTATCTAGGATGTTTGCTTTCTCTGTCCTCCAGATAATCCTTTTAGCATAAAAACAAAAAAAATTGATTAAATTTCCCTGGGCCTCTCTACAGGAGGGCTATTCTGTGAGATGCCTCTTTGGCTAGAGTTTATGTATGTCTCCTATGTCATTTTGATGGGAGTAATTTAGAGCTAAATAGCTGCCATTTCTTCTTAGACTTATCTCTCCTGTAGACCCTTGAGACTATTTCTTTTCTTCCACTGTTTTAACCTATACCTGTCTTTGACCTGGTAGGTTTTCCAGTTAAAATAGTTTGTGGCATTCACATCTATGTCTAGGCAAAATGACACTCTGCAGGGGTATTTCACAAACCTGGCCAGTTTGGTAACAGAGCAGAATATTCCCACAACAGTAATTTCTACGTAAAGTTTTGAATTTATTTAAACCACATCAAACATAACTGTGTTTTTATTCTTTGTCAGATTTTCCAGTTATGTGTTCTTTTCTTAAATATAAATCAAACAGCTAAATTACATCTAAATTATTCTATTCAGGGAACTGGGAACATTCTCAGAAAATACAGTGGTGCCTCACTTAGCGATTGCTTCGTTTAACGACGAATTTGCTTAGTGATGGCTTTTCCGGAGCAATCTTGCGCTCCGTTTAGCTATGTTTCCTATGGGTGATTTTCGCATAGCGATGTTTGGGACCTTGCTTCGCTTAGCGATGACAGTTTGGGTCCCCCTGTTTCGCTTAATGATGGTTGTGACAGCCCTGTGTTGGCTGTTTTTTAAATGTGTAAAAATGTTTTAAAAGGGTTTAGAATGCTTGAATCATAAGTGCACTTAATAAACCCTTTGTTAAACTAATTTGACTTTGTTCTGACTCTTTGAATTTGTTGTAATTTTCCCCCCATTGAAATGCATTGACTAGGTTTCAATGCGTTTCAGTTGGGGAACCGCGTTTTGCTTAGCGATGTTTCCTATGGCGATTTTCGCTTAAGGACAGCAATCCATTCCCATTGGAACGGATTATCCGGTTTTCAATGCATCTCTATCGGAAAACGCGTTTCGCTTAGCGATGTTTTCCCCTAGCAATGTTTTTTGGCACCAATTAAAATCGCTAAGCGAGGCACCACTGTATTCCCAATTCAATTTTTCTGCAAAATGTATGGAACTGCTTTTGTCTCCTTTTTCTGTTGGTAATATCTGGATTAAAATGGGACACACTATTCATCAGTGAACTCAGCAGACAAATGAACTAGATATATAGCTGCTTGATCACATTAAGTTTGGCCCTAAGGAAAGTGGCTATGAATCACATGGGCCACAAACTTAGGAGTAGCTAACAGAATTAGGAGCTGAAGGAAGAAGTTTGAGTATATATTTCATGTTGCTGGGTGATTTCCCTTGGACAAAATTTACAATTTTGAAAAGGAAAACTAAAGAACAAAGTGTGGTGCATATATACTGCCCCATAGTGCTTAAAGTACTCTTTGGGCGGTTTACAAGTTAATTATGCAGGCTACACATTGTGTCCCCCCCCCCCCAAGCAAGCTGGGTAGCTATTTTACTGACCTTGGAAGGATAGAAGGCTGAGTCAACCTTGAACCGGTTAGCTGGGATTAAACCCCAGGGCGTGAGCACAATTTTGGCTGCACTACCGCAGTTTAACCACTGCACCGGGAGGTTATTAGACATTTATTGTTTTCTAATTTTTTTAGTGTTGATTGGCATGTAAAATACTTCCTGATCTCAACAGTTCCATACCCTGTTGTCTATAACTTATGGTGTCACATTTTGAAGTTCTGATTTATTGTATGGCTGCTCTTTTTTCAACTTTTTTCACTTTAGATGACTGTGGAAGCTATACCAACTGTAGTTCCTGTATTGCTCAGTCTCATCTGAACTGCACATGGCTTCAGTGCACAGGTAAATGGAATTACATTTAACTACATTTGCCTCAACTGAAGTAGTAGTTGTTGATGCTTGTTAAGGTGGAGAGCCTGTACTGTTCCTTTCCATAATCAGAATGCATGTTAAGCAGGCTGTTGCCACATACTGCTACAGATGTTTTGGAGAAAATATGCATATGTTTTGTCTGTAAGCTGCAGTTTGCCCCCCAGGTTGCAATTCAGTACTTTTTCTGTGTTGAGGGAGGGCAGGGAGATGACTTCTAGTAGACTTATGCCCATGAAATAGACATGTTAAAGGAAAAGAGGGATTGAAGAAACAGTGGACTAAAGAACTGCAACCTGAGATAAAACACATATGAGGGAGTGGTAGAGTTGAAGAAAGGACAAAGGAGAATTTGAGCCTGGCCTTACCTAGGATACAAGAATAGGGTATCTGTATGCTGTTTGCAGGGAAAAAAAGTGGGTGTAAAGGAAGAATTGGTGGGCTTAGGACTGAGGGGCCAAAGAGTTTAAGATTGAATAAGAAACCCATGTCTTTAGGCCAAATCTGTAGAGCTCTTTTTCCTTGGAGATGAAGGAATCCTTTATGCTCTTAACTCTTTGATCCCTTAGGCCAACAAAATATTATTAATCTTAAATATGTTACTGAATAGGGAATAAACTAAATTATACAAATAAAAATCAGTCTCATTATAATTCATAAAACATTTTTCCAGAATCTGACTTGATACAACAAGGAGTCTTGTGACATGTTGAAGATTGATAGATCTTTTTTAGTATAAGTTTTGGTGAATTACAGTCTACTTCAGATGCATCTGAAGAAATATGCAGCAATCCAAAAACCTTATCTTGTGTATAACAGACAATTTGTTTCTTTGTTCTGAAAAATCTGTGAGGCAGTAAGAGCTGGCAACAGAGAACCTTGTATGGGTGCTGCAGAGTTCAAGTTAAATATCTTGATAGCATCATATTGGTGCAGGGGTTAGTTTTGGAAGTTTCTGTCCTCCAGCTAAAATAGTAAAAGCTAGAAAAAATTTTCACTGCTACTACTGATTTTTCATCTTAAATGGATAGGTCAATAAAGACAGCTGGACGTAATTAGCAATTAGCTCAATTCATTGTGCCAGCTGGGGAATTCTGAGAGTTGTAGTCCAAAAAAGTACATATTTAGCTCATGAATACTGGGCTGAGTACTGACTTGGGGGGAGAAAAAAGACCATTTTGTGGAACAGAATTTATGGGGACAGGGAAAGAAAGACAGAAAGCACTGGAGTGAAGGTGAGACAAGTGTGTCAAGGCAAGTCCCAACCTAGACAGAAAGCACTGGAGTGAAGGTGAGACTAACCTTGGTGTCAAGGCAAGTCCCAACCTTCTTTTTCTTGGGCCCTCCAGTTATGCTCACTACCTAAGATAGCCAGGTAATGCAAATGGAGTCAGCAAGACTAAGGAACTTAACCCTCAAAGTTAAAAGCAGGCCTGCAGGATAAAACCACAATTGCCAAACTAAATAGCATAATAGGATGAGGAGTGTCATTTGCACACTGAATGTATGTACAAGTTGTAGAGATGATGTTACATTTGTTTATGTAAAGAATAGAAAAATCAAATTAAAGGAAAAAATATATTTACAGTGGTGCCTTGACTTACAAATTTAATTGGTTCTGGAAGATGGTCGTAACTTGAAATGGTTGTAAGTTGAAGCACCATTTCCCATTGAAATGCAGTTAATCTGTTCCGGCAGAAGAAAAAAAATCGCTGCAAGACTGGAAATGCGATTAATCCCTTCCGGCTGAAGGGGGGGAGGGAAGAAAAGCAATCAAGCATGCAAGACCCATCAGAAATTCAAAGAAAGCAAAGGAAAAAGCAAACGGAGCACATCGGAAATCCACAGAAAACCAAGGGAGCACATCGTAAATGCACGAAAAAGTGGAGCACATCGGAAATGCAAAGAAAACAAAGGGAGCACATCGGAAGTGCACAGAAAACAAGCGGAGCACATCGGAAGTGCACAG